GATTTGCTATAATTAATACTGCAGAAACACAATGCAAATTCATTAAAGCAAAATAAAAGTTAACTGAAATTCAGTCAGTGCATACCTTGGTTATTTGATTATGTGTATCATGATAACAAGAAAAATCAATACAAGACTTGTGTGACCTGGTAGAATTACTGTACTTCATTGAGGTTTTGACCTATTTTTTCCATAGCGGGCTTTGAGAACTGTGGGTAGTCATGGAAAAACACTTAGGTAGGAGGAGAAAAGCATAGAGCTCTGTCCTCAATTCCATGGCAATTAAAGGGATTAATCTCACCAACTAAATGAATACATTTGAATTTACTTAGTGAACTACAGTATTTTTTAGTTTAATATATTCTGGAATGTTTCCTTTAAAAATAAAAAAGAAAATGTCAGAAGTCTGTAGGTTCCTTGTAAACCAGCAGTTTGGACATACTGTACAAAGCATTATTAATAATAACCAGAGTCTTGCGAAGAAAGAAAATTCATGCTACAGTACATCCATACACTTTATGTATAAAACAATACTGCAAATATTCCCATTAATGCACCATCTTGTGAAACACAATTCTGCCTCTCTGCTGGCTGGGTGCTCACATTTTCACTTATGTAATGTGGCTGTGTGTAAAGCATTTAAAGTGTGAAAATTAAGTTATTTATTAATTAATTTATAAGATAATGTAGCCTCTCTGTCTAAAGTGTTCATTTTATGTCCTGTTACCATCCATACATTTTCTAACAGCTTTGTCCAATTCAGATCCGCAGGGGAGCCTATCCAGGTAATTCATGGGCACCAGGCAGGGTACACCTAGGACAGGATGCCTGTACCATGCCTTCAGAAAGTATTCATCCCCCATTGATTATTTCTTTTTCCAACTCCTGTAGAAGTAATTCTCTATAATGTTAAAATGAAATTAAGTATTTAGATGTCTTCAGAATTATATTAAAAAATGAAAATCTGAAAATTACGTAATTGGTAAGTATTCACCCCCTTTGTTTTAACAACCTAAATTGGGTGAAGTATTCAATTATCTTGAGAGATCACACCAAATACATTAACAATGTACACCAGTGTTCATTTCAAATCCACCTGTGTTCAATCGTTTGACTGTACAATATATATCACTGACTTGGTGAGGTCTCATAACTAAAACAGCAGATCACATCAACCCTCTTGTCATGAAGACAAAGGAGCTGTCCGTGGAACTTCGAGATGAAGTTATTAGGAGGAAAAAAGCTGGAGAAGGTTATTAAAAGATTGGTAAAGTTTTGTACTTCCTAGGAGCACTGTGAAATCCATTGTAATAAGTTGGAAAAAACATGGCACAACCCAGACACTACAAAGATCAGGCCAGCCGTCCTCCCAACTCAAGCAACCGGAGAAAAAGGGCGATTGTCAGAGAAGTGACCAAGAGGCCAGCTACAACACTGACAGTTGCAGTGCTCTTTAGCTGAAATGGGAGAAAATTGTCCAGACAACTACTGTATCTCTTCAGCACTTTGCAGATTTGGCCTCTTTGGGAGAGTGGCTAGAACAAAGCCACTTCTGAGAAAGGCCAACATTAAGTCACGCCTGGAGTTTGCTAGAAGCCATGTGACAAAACCTGAAACCTTTTGGAACAAAATTGTGGTCTACTGAGACTAAAGTTGAGCTCTTTGCCCTGAAAACAAAAAGCTATGTTTTGTGCAAACCAAATACAGCCCAACACCCAGGTAACACCATCCTTACCGTCAAGCATGTTGGTGGCACCCTCATGTTCTGGTGTTGCTTTTCAGCAGGAGGAACTGGAAAGCTTGTTGCCGTTAAGGGCAACATGAATGGAGTCAAATACAGGCAAATCCTTGAAGAGAACTGTTTCATGACGTCAGCTACAGATCTGCATTTAGGGCGAAGATTCATTCTCCAGCAGGACAATGACCCAAAGCACATGACAAAAACTACCAAGGAATAGCTTGAAAAAAAGAAGGTTAGTATTCTGGAATGTCCCAGCCAGAGTCCAGACTTGAATCCAATTGAAAATCTGTGGTATGACCTGAACATTTCTGTCCCCCAATGCTCTTCATCTAATTTGGCAGAGTTGGAGCATATTTGCATTGAAGAATGGGCAAAAATTCCACAATCTAAATATGCAAAGCTTATACAGACATACCCAAGAAGACTCATGACTGTAATTGTTGCCAAAGGACTATGTACAAAGTATTGAATCGAGGGGGTGAATACTTTTGTATTGAAGGAAGAAATTGAATAATTTCTGAAGGCACTGTATATCACAGAGCACACACATACTAGCACCTAGGGCATACTTTCCAGAAGCCAATTAATCTGCCAATATGTTTTTGAAGTTTGGGAGGAACCCATGCAAACATGGGTTTACAACCTAGATTGTACAAATGCACAGATAGCAGCCCAGGTCTGGAATTCAATTGCTAACCACTATGCCACACATCCTATTTCCTTATTTTGTATCTCATGTATCAACATGAACTCTATTAATAGATGTCTACATAACATTTTCAATATATTTACAGTATAAGGCTAAGCTCTCAGTTCGATGACTAGCATTAAGGTGTGTGTTTTTCCTTTCCTACAACAAGACGTGTCCATTTTTGACTATTCAATCACACAGGGGAAAGCTTGCATCAAAGAGTTATAGCTCAGAGGGGCATAGTCACCCCTCCTTGAATGATAATGTAAAGGAGGCAGAGGTAAAGAAAATGGAAGTGCTTTCATGTTAATACCACAGAACCAGTGGAGTCATATGTGAAATAAATTAGGATAAGTTAATCAGTATTCAAATTCAGCCATTGACCTCAGAGGAATAACAATGCTAATCAATTTAGTCTGAGGCAAAAATATAAACTGTTTCACATCTCAAAATTAAATAAAAGACATTCCCCCAGTGAGGAGATTTGTAATCATCTCACCATATGTGTTGGAGGATAACTAGGAAAAATACTCAATATTGCATTTTTTATTAGTGGAAACACCAGTGTGCTCTTGGAGGTTTGAGTGATGACAATAACAAAAATAATGAAAAGAACACCCATTTAAACTTTACTGTGCATTTCCTATTTTTGATGGGCAGATCAAAATACCAAAACAAAATACAGAATTACGTATTTCAAAATAGCAGTTAGTACTATACTTTAGTGAAGTTACAAATGATACTATATACAGGCAACTCTTCTTTGTTACATACTTCACTATTTTTTGTTCCTGTTTCAGAACATGTGACAATGGCGATTGAGTGCTACTTCTTTACGTTCCACTCATGCATGAGCTGTCGAATTCAGATTGTGGTCAGATTGTGTTCATGCTCCTCTCTGGATGTGATCAAAGTTTAGTGTGGGTTAGAGTCTAAGCCATCCTGGATTCCTAGAAATGACCTGATTAGACAGAGTATAAATAATCTTGATTCTGTCAGAATACACTTTGAACAGCTACTGCAATTTTCAAATGATCTACCTTTATTTATTCCACTCTTGCATGGTACCAAGCAGAACATTTCAGTTTCCTGCTGAAGGTAGGAAGACTTTATCTGCTTTTCTGCTTTCTGTTGGGCTGGATCTGAAGCCACATCTAACCTGTGAGTTGTGATGAGTTAATTTAATAAATTGTAAATTTGTGAATGGATCCTTACCCTTTTAATGCTCCATTACAGGGCTCGTATTCATCATGTAGGATTCAAACCTACTGGATCATTACAGGGATTTGGACAATTGAAAAATACAAATAAATATTAATTGAAAAATAGATTGATTGATAAATTGATTAATAAGTGGTTAAGACATATCATTATAATTTAATGATCAAACACTAATGGTTTAGTGAACACCTAACGTAAAGTACTCTGTGGACTACAAGTAGCTAATCAATGCCAGAATCTCATTCCTGTAGATAAAATCCAGCAGATAGTAACTCAGCATCTTCAGAAATCATATTATCGAAAATGATCAAAATTAACACCAGAGGGTGTATAAATATTTTGAGACTATTTTGAGACATCCACGTCTTAAGTCAGTACTAAACACAGAAAACCATCTTTTGTTGATCAGGAAATTCTGATTGGGTATAATAACCTGAGTACCATGCCCTATTTTCACCAATTCTAGGGCTCCCAGCACTTTTGGGTATAAAAGGTATAATTTGTGAAATGTGGGGGTGTTGATGGCTCCTGTCTTCAAGTATTTCAACTGAAGTGTGTGAATCACTGTTAAGCGTTGCCTTGGCAATGAGCTGTGGATTAGGGCCAGAATAAACATAGACTGATGCTTTAGTTCTTAGTCTCTTGCTGCTATCTTTTCTCACTCCCCTTGTCTCACAGTAGTTTACTTTTCCATTGCTTGTAAGAAAATGTAAATGCAAAATTAATCAGTGCATGCAAATGCCTGGGGAAAAAAAATGTTTGAAAAGGTAACACAAAAAACAAAAATTAAAACATAAAACTAATGTGTGTTCATTGAAACACAGAAGACAAACGACCATTTTACATTTAAAGTCTAATCCTTGCTCCATTCCTCTGTTTCCAACCACAAGGTTTTTTATTAGACACTTTTTTTATCATGATTGATTAGGATGGGAAACAAAGCCTGTGACCCATCAAACAAAACCATGGCCGACTGATGAAAAGAAATCTTAATCAAAACTGACAAATGCTTTAATGTATTGAAGAATCATTGCTCGTGTAACAGCTAAATTTTTGGGCTGGTTCATACAGCAGGATCGTTATCTGCAAAGCAGAAGGATGAACACGTAACAGCCAAACCATGAATCTCACCGTTGTCATAAAGAGGACGAGTGCATTCTTCAGTACTACTCTTTCTGCCACAGGATTTTAAAGTAAAACATGACAGACTACGACACCACTGAAACTAATTTGACAACAGAAATGTACATAAATGATTCATACAAATATTTTTATGATTGGTACAATGACAGTGCAATTGAAGCGCCGGTTGTCAGTGGATTTGTCATATTTCTCATTGGAACTTACTGCTTTGTCTTCGTTGTTGGAACGGTGGGGAATGTTGCAGTCATCTACCTAATGGCCACAAAGAAGAAGAGAAAGAGGTTGGCTGATATTTTTATTACTCATCTGTCTGTGGCAGACTTGATTTTTCTCATCACCTTACCTCTGTGGATAGTTTCCCTGGCTTTGAATTACAAGTGGCCCTTTGGAAACTTCCTTTGTAAATGTACCTCCTACATCATTTCAGTTAATATGTTCTCAAGTATCTTTTTTCTGACTTGCATGAGCTTCGACAGGTACATGGCCATCGTTTTGCTGGCCAACAACAGGACGGTGAGAACAAAGAGATATGCTCACCTGATAGCTGTAGGAGTCTGGGCAGCTTCCCTTGGACTTGGCGTCCAAAGCTTTGTCTTCAGGTCCACCACTGATGACAGATATTGTACAGATGATAACTCAACATCTAAGACGGTTTTCAGTTTGGTGACACGAGTCATTGCCTTCCTGCTGCCCCTCTCAACCATAGTTTTCTGCTATTCTTCTATTGCCATCACACTAAACAGACACTTCAAGCGCATGAACAAAGAGGAGGAAAAAAAGAGGATTTCTGTGAAAATTGGGCTGTGGATTATTGTAATGTTTATCATTGCATGGCTTCCGTTCAACATTCTAGTGACAATCCAGACTCTAAAGAAATCGGATTACATAGACTTGTCCAATGAAAATCAAATCATTTTGGACAGAAGCCTGGGTTTTGCTACCTGCCTAGCTTTCAGTAATAGCTGTGTCAATCCCATTATCTATGCTGTTCTTGATGGCTATGTTCAGAAACACTTTTTAAAGGTGATGCCCTGTGTACTGGCACAGAGACTGGCTATAATGCGACCGAGCCTGAACTCTTCCAACACATATAGTGAAAGAGATTCATTTTCATCCAAAGTGAAATGAGCCTGATTTTCTCAAATTCAAACACAAAAGATTCCAAGCTTTTTAAGGAAGCAAGCAAACCTAGAAGTGAAGTTGGCATTTATTTCTCAAGCATTTCAAAGCAAGGAGTTATTTTTTATTTACTGTATTCTATATTTTTATTTTTACATCTTTTAAACTTGTTTAAATGTTCTTTGTAATGCATTAGACATTGCCATTCCACTTAATTTTAAGTAAGAACTTACGAATTTTAAATACTTTAGATATTCTTTTGTACTATTTTTATTTAACATGTATAGTATGTGTTGCTTATAATGTACAGGGTGTTTCAGAAAAGGATTTAATTCTCTGTGCAAGTATAAAAATTGATCTGCCTGTTGACCAATCTCAGCACCATTTTCTTTAATAAGTCTAAGAAATGAAAATTACATCTTGAAATGCTTGATAATACAGCAATGTGAGAAGTAAGATCTTAACCTATTATATGTTGTTTAAAAGTAAGAGTAAACTCTGTGCAATTAAAATTCAAACTAAAATTATTTATAAGCAATAGAAAAAAATAAATATGGACAATATTATTACCATGTATTGTTTTCAGATGATTTTTAGGAAAATTAAGGTTTTTCATTTTAAAATGGCACATTTTAAAACTTTAATACGTTGTGTTCTGCAAATAACTTTTATTTTTCTCTCTGTTCCAGAAAGCTACAGTATACATGATGGTCTAATGAGGACTTACATAAAATTTATTTTTCTATTTTTATTTCCATAATTACTTTTATTGCATTACATCAAAAATGTTTACTTCTTTGCTTGTGTTCATTGAAACATCTGACAATGCTAATTACTGAAACTTAAAACATAAAAAATGAGTGATAGAAAATAAAGGTCCTAGTACAAAGATCTCTCAGTGCAAATAAGAGATTGTATCTTTTTAGCCAAAAAAATAAGGTTAAACGTAAAAATGTAAGATGTGCAGTAAGTATATCATTATGATTGTGAAAAGATATAAATGAAATTTAGTTACCATTTGTTTCCATTTTAAGTTTTTAAACATGTATTTTAATATTTATATACCAACAGTTTTCCATTCAATTGCTTTTCCCACAACTTTTGATTTGAAAGAAACAACACAACAAATTTATAAACACTGCTCCCACTTGCACCTTGTAGAAGACAATATTTTTTTTCTTGCATCATTTACCTATAAGGAGCTGAATAACTCTTCTGATATGATCAATTGCACATCATTGTTCTTCTGGTGTCTTTGTAAACCCTGAAACCTATGAAAATTAAGTCTCTTGTGTACGACTTTAATATAATATAATTTAATATAAAATAAATTGGATCAGTTATTCTTCTACAATGTAAATCAATAATAGATTTTCCTCTGGGATTTTACTTCATTTTTCTCAGTTAATATAAGACAGAAAATGTATAAATT